GGAGAATTCCAGCCGCCGCTTCCAGGTCCGTTCTCCCGCCCGCCCCGCCGCCGAGGAGCACGTCGCGAAGCCGGGTCCGCGCTCCTGAATCCTCCGCTCCCTCCATCAGGACCAGGGAGTGGCCCCGGCTCCGGCACGCTCGGCATCGCAGCGAGGGAACGAGGATGGTTGTTCCCAGGGTGGGTTTTTTTCCCCCCACATCGAGTCTTTTGCAGCAGGAGGCACTCGGGGTCCTACGCGCCCCGCAGGAGGTTGCCCTTACCCCGAGGGGGGGTTTGCTCGTAGCTAAAATCTGCGTAGATTTTACAGAATTCTGCGTAGGTTCCACAGAATCGTTTTGGGTTTAGCTAAAATACCCCTTTCTGCGTGATTTTATCTACATGACTTAACATCTGCTGCCGGAGTTGGGAGTCGAGGCACCGCGTTTTAATTTAGGGCTGAGATGCTGGGAGCTGAAGCAGAGGTTTAAAACCCACGTGGCTCCGTAAGAAAAAAAAAAACAACAAACAAACAAACAACAACAACAACAAAAAAAAAACCCACAACAACAAAATAAAAATAGGCTCCATCCATCCTTCCTCCGACAGGCCTGCTCGGAAAGGCGGCCTTTTTGCTTCTCCTCTTCCCAGGCTGAGTGAGGCCCGGGGAAAGTTTGGGCGAGTAAGTTTGCAGGAGCCGGAGGGAGGGCGGCACAGATCGATTGGCGCGTTTAATAGGATCAGGTCAGTGTAATCCTGTTTCAGCCATTGTAATTCAGGCAGCCAAGGAGACCTCAAACTATAGGGGAAGGGGCTTTTAAAACCTCAGCGGTCCTGCCACAAAGCCAGAGGCTGGGGCCGGGACAAAAGCGGGAGAGAGGATGAAGTGGCTTGAAATAAATAGATTAAGGCTCTCTATGGGCCGGGCGTAGCGGGAGGGAGAAAAGAGCAAGCGAGGGGCGGGCGAGCGTCCCGCGGCCGCGGGAGGGGACAGAAGGGACCGGCACCCACGGGGGAACACGGCCCGGCCGGGCAGAGCATCCCCTCCCGCCGTGGGGCGGCCGCGTCGGGGAGCGGGGTGGGGAGAGGGGGGGGATCCCTCCAACCCTTTCCCCGATCCCCACGGCGCGAGTTTCCGAAGGCTCGGGATAGGCAATCAATTTTTACGATGCAATTTATAATTCATACAGGTTGTCTTCGTGCATATGGTGTTGCTTTTGTGCGTGTCAGGGTGCCGGGTGCTTTATGACGGTGACGGCGGGGATTTGCATCGGCGGCCGCTTCCCGGCCCCCTCGCTCTCCTCGGGCGGGGATGGAGATGGATAATGGATACGGCCCCATGGAAGCGCGCGGGGGGCGGCGGGGGGGGGCTGATCACGTAGGACAGCGACTCCTGAGGGGTGGGTGACTCTTCCAAGGGGGCAACCTTCCCCCACTGAGGATGCCCAGTCCTCGGCAGGGATATTCCCAGGGGGTGCAGATCCCCCTCGCCCCCCTCTCCCGACATTCGGGTCAGCCCCACTGCAGGGGATGCTCTGCAGGGAGGCTCCCGGGGGATAACCCCACCCGAGGGGGAGTTCGGCGCCCCCCGCCCGGGCACAAAAGGGTCCCTGTCGGCGGGGCAGCCACACCCCCGGGGGCAGGAGGGGCAGGTAAAGGCACAAAGCGCAGCCTGGCCAGTCCCAGCTGAAATAATTAAACCAATTAAGTCAGTACAAACAGAAACAAGGCGGAAGGCAGGGCTGTCCCCTCCGAGGAAGAGGAGCTCCCCCGCTCGCCCGTCCTGCCGTGAGTTTGCCCGGTCTCTGCTGCAGCCCTGGCATGCGGTGAGTTTGCCGGGTCACTGCGGCGAGAGGGTGAGAGGAGGGGGGGATTTAAAAGCTGTGATGTCTTATTTAAGAGCGAGGCAGCGTCTTCCCAGCCCCGCTGGAGAGGGGCTGGCTGCCTCCTCCAGTCACCGCAGCCCGGTACTGTGAACAGCAGTGGCTTAAAAAAAAAGAATAAACCTATATGTATTTAAAGAAGGGGTTTTTGCTAAGGCTGGCTGGAGCTGAGGAGCACAGGAGCAGGGCAGCTTTCCTTCCCCTACGACTCTGTGCTGTGCGAAGCGGGCCGGCATCGCTGCCGCCGCTCCCCGAGCACCGCAATTATTTGATCTGCAGATGTAAGAGGAATTTATTGTAACAACAAATATAGTGATGTCAAAACCCAACCTTGGATTAAAGCCGGCAGCCAAAGGGGAAGTGTATTAATTTCAAACAGCATCAGAGGCCAGTGCCTATTAGGACGAGCTATTCTTCAGACCCCCCCATCAGAATTAATCATTGGGAGTTAATTTGAAGCTCAGACAAGTTGCTGTTAATTTAGTGCAGGGAGGACGGGATGGAATAAAAAGCTGAGGTGCTGGCCGGGCCTCCTGGGTCTCATTAATCAGCGAGCTGAGACGGCCTGGCTTGATTACAATTTGCAAAAAAATTCATTAGAGCCTGGGCGATTGACAATTTTTCTCTCTGCCTGTGATCTGACTCATTAGGCAGCCAAATGAAAGCCATGATGATGGTGATGATGACAGCTATCAACCCCCTCGCTTGTTTATCTCCTTCTCCTCCGGCCCCCGGCCCGGGCTCCCCCCTCCAGCCCCGAAGCCCCACTCCTGGGATAAGGGGGCAATGGGGGACCCCAACCCGCGGAGTAAATAACTTTCCACTGCCTGGGGCAGATGCCGGCTTGTAGGGGGAGGGATGCCCGGGGGGGGTGACAGGGTGAGGAGCAGCTGCTCCTCCCTAAAATACAGCCCACCCCGCCCCCGTGGGGGGGTAACAGCGGGTGGGGGGGTGCGCCCCGTGGAACGGGGGGGGCACGGCCGCGCTGCCGCCCGCCCGGGCCGGCGCCAGCCGAGCAGCGTCCCCTTCGCACCGAAAGCAAACCGAAATAAATTCAAATAGAGCCACGAGGAAAAAGAATTTTTTAAAGCGCTCCGAAGAGGAGTAACGCTGGGAAAACCTCGGAGGGGGGGTGGGGGGACACACGGGTGGGCTTGTCCCACGCGCGTCCCGGCTCCCCGCTCCATCCCGCGCAAAAACGAAACGAAAAATTGTGGTTAATAATAGCAGGTTTTTTCAGGGCGGCGGGCAGTGGCGGCGGCTGCCGAACAGGCTGGAATTGCCCGTGATTTTCCCCTATTCCCCGCGTGTCCGCGGCTGCCCGTGGAGCCGGCTGCGATGCTGCCCGGGACCGGGCCGTTTTGGGGGGCGGCTGGTGGGAACGGGGACTCCCACGCTGCACACCCCCCCCCCCGCAGCCGCCGCCAAGCCCCTCCGACCCGAACAAAATAATAACAATTATTATAATAAATAAATGATGAAGCGCGAGGGCTACAAGTGACACGGCCCCGCCAAACGTGGGTTTGCTCACCGGAGCCTGTCCCGGGAGCGAGTGACATCCCCGCCACCACCCCGGGTTTAATTTTAATAGGCTCCCCCGGAACCCAGTCTTCCTCGGGAAATTTTAATTCCAAATCGCCGCCACCTCCAATGACACGGTGTCACCGGCACGGATGCAGCCGGGATGTGGAAAATGGAGGGGGGGTAAGGGGGAAGCCCACAAACAGGATGAAAAGAATGCGGGAAGGGGGGGGACGCGGGACCCTTCGGCCCCGAATCCCCCCCCGGGGCGGGCGCGGGGCTGGAGGGGCAGCTGAACTCCCAAACACGGGGCTGGAGACCCGCTGGCTGCCGGGGGAGGCTGCGGGGATGCTCTAACCCCCCCTCTTTTCCCACTCCACGCTCGAGGCCATCCCCGTTTGGTCACACAAAACGCCTTTTTTTCCAGCTTTTCCATCCCGCCCCCCCACCCCCCAAAAAAAAAAGAAAAAAAACTTTTTCGTCCGTCTCCCCCTCCCCGACAATAAATGTGGCTTCGGGGAAGAAAAAAAAAAAAAAAAAGGAAAAAAAGCGAGAGCAGCATCGCTCTGGCAGCGCAGGAGGGGGAAAAGAAATCAGCTCAACACCAAATCCTGGACAGAACAGCCGGGGGCTGGAGGGCGCTTTTTTTTTTTTTTTTTTTTTTTTTTTTTTAAGTCTTTGTTTCTTTGTCGGTTTTTATTCACAAGACTTAGTTTGCTTTTAAATTTCATAACTTATAAGGAAATAAGCTACATTGAAATAAATTAAACACAATAGAGAAGATCGTGCTGCTTTTTTTTTTTTTTTGCCTTTTTTATCCCCCCCCTCCCTCTCTCTCTCTCTCTGTCTCTTTCTTTTAAACATGGCTTGGTAGAATAGGCAAACCAAATCGACAGAAAGCCAGGCAAAAAAATAGATTTCAAAACTCGTCCCCCGGTGCCTGCCACTCAGCCATCGGCAACAAAACTAAACAATAAAAAAGGCATGAAATGAAACTCTTAGTTTTCTTTCCGTGGTTTGGTGTTTGTTTGTTGGGTTTTTTTGTACGTTTGTTTGTTTTGTTCTCTTGTCTTTTGGTTGGTTTTTGTTTTTTTTTTTTTACCTTTCGCCCCCGATAAGAAAGACAACCCAAAAGGTGGCTAAAGCCGCTGCGGGTTTCGCTGGGGATGCTGCTCTGGCGAGGGGGATCCAGCGCCGACACCACACCACATCCACGGTCCCCAGCGCAGCCGAGGCAGCATGAGCGGGTCCAGAGCAAGGGCAGCGGGATAATAAATATCTGTGTGTGTGTGTGTGTGTCTCTTCCAGCGTTCGATACTCCTGCTCCGAACCACAGCAGTTTTCCAAGACTCTTTTCCCTCGCAGACTCTCGCCAGACTCGGTAAGTGGAAAGTTTCGCTTTAAAATTCGCTCGTGGCAGGGATTTGCCAAGCGCTCGCCTGGGTTTTGTGTGTTTTTTTCCTTGTTGGCTGTTGTTTGTTTATATAAGGGTTTGATTTTTTTTTAATTTTTTTTTTGCTTCTCTTATTTTTATCTTTGCTCGGGTGGGCTGCTTTCAAACCCCGATTTGGAAACTTTTCCCCTTTGAAAAACTTGTGGCTCTGAGCGTAGGGAGAGATCAGGGTCGGGCTTGCTCCAGCTGCTGATGCTGACTCCTGATCGCAAACCTGCTGACGTGCACCGGGATGGGGACCACGATCTTAGGGTTTCGGGAAGGTTCCCCTGTCTTGGAGTTGGCGTTGCCTGCCTTGACCCGTTTCCATTTCGCCCGTCTGTTCTGGAACCAGATTTTCACCTGCACCTCGCTGAGTTTGAGGGCGTGAGCGATCTGGGACCTCTCCGTCAGGGACAGGTACTTTTTGCAGTGGAACTCCTTCTCCAGCTCCAGCAGCTGCTCGCTGGTGAAGGCTGTTCGCCTCCGCCGGTTTTTGCCCGTGGACGTGGTGTTGGTGGAATTGGGGGGGTTCTGGGGGTTTTCCTCCAGCGCGTTGCCAGAGTCCTCTTCCTTGTGAGCCGCCTGGCCGGTGATGTTGTCGTCCGAGCTATAGTCTAGATCGCTGTCCATGGAGAAACTTTCCTCCTTGCCTTTCGCGTCCTCTTCTGCTTTGGGGTCCTCCTTGCCCTGGCCCCGGAGAGCCCCGGCTGGAAGCGAAGCAGAGGCCTTTCGTTAGCACCGGGGTACCCTCCGTGCCGCGGCCACCGCGCCCGCCCCCTCCCGCCCTGCAGCTCCATCCCCCGAAAATTGATGGCTCTGGGAATTTTTTTTTTTTTTTCCCCGCGGATCTTTCGGTCGGATTTATTCTATTGATAGTTTCTCGAGCGGCGGGAGCTCGAACCTCTCCTTCTCCTCCTCCCTTCTCCTCGGCCCAGCGGTCCCCCCGGGGCCAGCCCTGTCTCCTCCCGGGGGTCCCTCCTGTCCCCCGGCCCCCCCAGCCCGCCCCGCCGGGGCGATGCGCGGAGCGGGCAGCGTGATCCCCCGATTCCTCCTGGCCGGCACCGGCGCTCACTCACCGAGAGAAGCCTGGACGGCGTCGGCGGCGGGGAAGGGCAAAAGGGCTCCGTCCTTCCCCAGGAAGGCTTTGCCATCGTCGCCGCCGCCGTCCGGGGGTATCCCCTCGGCTTTCTCGAAGTTCCCCGGGGGTGCGAACTTCCTGGCGGCCTCCTGGTGCTGCGGGGAGGCGGGGAAGGTGCCGGGCAGCGTGGCCATGAGGGTGGAGGTGAGGGCCATGCCCTGGGCCAGGCTGGAGCAGAAGCCGGTGGGCAGGCTGGGCAGCTGGTGGTGGTGGGGGTGCGCGGGGGGCAGCGCGGGCTGCAGGGCGCCCTGCGGCAGCGCCGGCGGCGGCGGCGGCGGCGGCGGCAGCACCACGGGCCGGTAGGGCATGAACATGGGGTAGCCGGTGTAGACGAAGTGGCCGGGGGCGGGCGGCGGGGGGCTGCCGATGAGCGAGTCGATGCTGAAGGCCGTGCTGCTTCCCAGCGGGCGCTGCATCATCATCAGCGAGGGCTGGAAAGCCGCGCTCATGCCGGAGCGGCGGCGGGAGCGAGCGGGCGAGCGATCACCTTCCTCCTCCTCCTCCTCCTCCTCCTGGTCGTCCTCGGCGTGCGGGGCCGAGCCGGGGCGGAGCGGGGCCGCGGCCCGACAGCCGGGGCCGCCCGCGCTCCGGGGCCGCCCCGCCCGCAGCGCCCGCAGCGCCCGCGCCCCGCGGATCCCCGCGCTCTGCCCGCCCGCGCCCAGCCGCCCATTCACATTTTGGCCGCCTGGGAACACGGCCCGCCCCACGTGGCCGCCGCCGCCGCTCGCCATTGGCGGAGCGGGGCGGGGGGGCGTGGCCGGGAGGGGAGGACACGCCCATAACCACGCCCATTCTACACCCACCACCCACCCCCCCCGGCCCATTGAGCGCGTCCCGGACGGGGCGGCCCAGGCGGGACCTGCGGGACCTGCGCGGGTCCCCCGGGCCGTGGGACATTGCCCCTCTCACGCACCAGTTTGGTGCCTCCAAGGCATTAACCCCCTGCTTTTTTTATTTTTTTAAAAACCCCTTTTTAAAATTTTATTTTTTTTAAATTCACTCTGCCTCCTTCCCCCCACCCCTTCCTTTTTTTCCTTTTTTTTTTTCCCCTGAAAAGCCCCCAAATAGGCTCCATGTGGTTCTGGGTAAAGTCAGCCCCTGGCTTGGCTTTGAAATTGCTTCTGCAATTATGTAAAAGAGCCATTCAGCAACACGGCAGAATTAAAAGCGATGGAGGGCTGCTCCCTTTTTCTCCGGCGAGCTTCTCATGTTGGCCGGCTCAAAGCCTTTTCCAACACGACGTCTTTGGCGAGGACAAAAGCTGGGACAAAAAAAAAAAAGGGGGGGGGGGAAGAGGAAAAAAAAAAAAGCCCCCAAACTTGTAAATTGAACGTCAAGGGAACTTTACACAATTTCAAAGGCCATAAATAATGATAAAGGGACCAGGCGAAGAGGCAAACCCAGGCAATTAATGGAGGTTCCCAAGCAAAGATCAAGTGGTTTGGAAAATAAAATTAAATGCAAGAAAAAAAAGAAAAAAAAAAAAAAAAAAGAAAAAAAAGAAAAAAGGGAGGGGAGAAAAAAAAAAGAGAAAGAAGGGGAGTTGGCTGGGGGTGGGATCCCTCCTGCCTTCGGGAAGTTGAAGTCTTCCTGGGACAATGGTACTGGCTGTGCCTCTGGGCTTGGCTTTGGGGGGGGTTCTGCAGACAAGCCCTGACTTAAAGTGGCTTGTGGCAGGGGGTGGGTCCCCCAAAACCAAGGGTCAGCAAGTGATCCCTGGCCTGTCTGGCCTGTCTGCTTGGGAAGCTCTAACTGATCCACAGCTCCCTTCTAGGCTAATGGATGCTCGCGTTTTCCAGGGGAGGATGGAAGATGTCAGGCTGGGCACTGCACATCGAGGGAGGAAAAGGTGACCTGCCCATGGCAGTGGCTGGTGGGTGCCAAGGATTGGGACAACCATGCTCTGTCCCCTAAATCCTACCCTTCTGGGCCCCCAAAAACTCAGAGGCACGTGGGGTGAGGGTGATCCCTCCAGCACTGGCACAGCTGTGCATCCCAAAAGACACCCCTCTTTTACCCCCCAAAACAGTTCCCTTTGGGGTGTGTCCTCTGGGAAGGGGTATCACAACCTCCCTGCCAGCCCTCAGCAAGTGGCATTCGCAGCCCTCCCAAAAACCCCTTTTCCCTGCTCGTTCCCGCCACTGAAGCTTGTTGGCTTCCTGAAATTGGGGGGGGGCTGGGGCTGCCCCCCGACCCATGCCCGGATATCTGGGTCAGTTTATCCCTCCACATTTCCAGCCAACATCTGAAAGCGTTCTTTTCTTGGCAGAAGCGATTAGAGGGGGGTTTTTGCGTTTGGGGCCTCGGCACGGTTGCACCGGCCCGTCCTGCCTGTGGCTCCCCTTCCCTGTCTCGGTGCGGCTTTTGGGGTGCCTGTTGGTCCCCCCTTGGCATGAATTCTGGGGTTCCCCCTTCCCCAATGCTGCCCTTCTGCAGGAGAAGCCGATTTTCCCTGAGTGTGTGGCACGTGGGACAGGGAGGATGGCCATGGGAGCAGCTGGGGATGGGGGGGGGGGTTGTGTGGGGTGTGCACGCAAACACTTTTGGGGCCCATCTCCGACTTCAGGGGACTGGGGAGAAGTTTACTTATCCAGCTCATTTCCACATGTCCCAGCTCCCCTCTCAGAGGCCACCATATGTGCAGCAGTGCAGGGGCAGCGCTCGGGGTTTTTCCCAGCTCGGTTGGATCTCCCCCGTGGATGCCTCGGAGCGGCGCGCTCGGTTCTTTCTCTCCCGTGGTTTTTTTCTCCCCTTGTCTCCCTCCTCGTGGTCCGTCAGGCATCACCCGATCGCAGCCCTCTCCTGCCTCCCTCTCCTTCCGTCCGCCACGGATGGAACTGAACTCTCCAGCCTCCCCAAACCAGCAGCAATCCCTGCCCATTCCCAAACCGACCCGAGCGGGCTGGAAAGCAAAGCTGGCGTTCAAATAGAAAAGCGAGTCCGAGAGCAGGGAGAGGGAAAAAAAATCATCTCTTTTCAGGAACCCACGTTAGATTGCGGAAAGGGGGAGAGATAATTAGGCACGGTAATCCGGCGGGGCATGGAAATGTGTACCAACACCCAGCTCCTGCAGCTGTTTGTATTGTCAGCCCTCTTCAAAATTTGCCCACAAACAAGTGCCTTTGCAAGACGGGAGCATTATTTCGGGCAAGAATGGGCTTTTTGTTCGGCACATAATTAGCTGATTTCTTCTCCCGGAGAAAAAAAAAAACACAAACCGTCGGCGATCTCTGATTGTCGGGGGGAGCAACCGGAGCGTGATTGTGCCTGGGAAGTGTAACAGGCGTGAGGGAGGCGAGGGACAAGGCAGGGCAGGCAGGGGAGCCCCCGGAGGGACCCCCGCTGCCACGGGGACGCGCCAGGAGCCTTTCCCAAGGGGTCTAAATTCTAAATCTATCATGGAAAATCAATACTTTGGAGGGTCATGCTCGGCTGGGGAGGAACCCCTTTTTTTTTCCCCCCTGGGCAGCCTGGCTGGGCCGTGGTGGTGGTGGTGGTGCTGGTGCAGAGCAGGTCCCCACATGGACCCAGCTTGAAATGTGGCACCAAAATGCTGCTGCAGGAGGCTCCCGAGCCACCTGAACCAGGGAATGCTGAAGAGCAGGCGGCTCCCGGCAGGTTTTGTCCCAAAAAGCCTTCTCGGGAGAGGAGCAGCAGATATGTGGAGGCATCTTTGAACTGGGCAGATTTTGGGGGGGAGTGTCTGTGACTCTGGTGGTCTCGTGGCTGGGGGGAGAGAGTGTGGGTTAAATAAACTCCCAAATCAGGGTGGGAAGGGAAGTGGAGAAGTGAAAGAAAGGAGCCATGAAGGAAGAGGAGGAGTGGGATGTGCTTGAGCCCTTCCATGTGGGAATCCATAGGGTGCCAGAGGTCAGAGCATCCCTCCACCTGGGCCGGGGAGCCAAGGGCTGCTCCCAGCCCTTCGGGCACCCCCAGGCTGTTTGCAGGAGCTGTGCTGGGGCTTTCCATGGACCACATGGGATGGTGTCTGTCCTCCCACGGGGCTTTGGGGTGCTGTGCTGGCAAGGGGCATTATTTGGAGGAGGGTCTGTGCTGCTGCTGGTCCCCGAGGTCAGTGAGGAGGGATGGTGGTGGTAGGGGAGCTCTGTTTTCCAGCAGATCTTGGTAGCAGTGACTTTATCTAAGCCAAAACTCAGGCTTGCAAAGGCTCTGCCGAGCTAATTCCTGCATCCGCTGGGGAAATTTTAATTGCGTGGGAAACGTCACCAAAATCATCTCACCCCGCTGAGCTTTTCCAGTGATTTTTTTCCCCCTGGGAAAGTGGGGTGAGCAAGAGGGGAGAGCGTGAGCAGAACTGCCCCCCAAAAATCCGCCTGTATTTAACGACGTAGGGATTTCGGTGTGAGCACTCAATTAGGGATCTCCATCCTACCCCCCATCACCCCTGCGGGGAAGGGGGACACGGTTTTGTGCGTGGCTGGGGGTTCATTTCAGCGGTTTGGGGCTGCGGGAGCTGGAAGGAAGAGGGATGGGGGCGCGGGAGGGCAGGATTAGCCCGGGAATAGGGATGCGCATGGAAGCGCGCCCGCCGCGGGATGCGACCCCCGCCCCACTCGTGCCCGCCGGGAACCCCCTCCCGCCTCCCCCTTCGCTTCCCAAGCGGGGTAAAAAAAAAAAAAAAGGCAAACCAAAACAAAAAGCAATCCCCAAACCACTCATTCGTCGCTTAATCCCATTAACTCCTTCGCGTGCTCTCATTTGAACTCTTTCCAGCCCCCCCCTCTTTCCCCCTTTCTTCCTTTTTTTTCTTTTTTTTTTCCTTTTTTTTCAACAAACTCGGAGGCGCTCGGGATTTTCGAGTTAAAAAAAAAAAAAAAAGAGCATAAGAAGGTGAAAATAATACCGTGCAGGTAAAAAGAAAAAAAAAAAGAAAAAGAAAAAAAAAAAAAAAAGGAAGAAAAAAAAAAAGAAAAAATTTGACTTCCATAATCCCGGCTCATATCCCAAAATTCGTTCGCATAAGGGGAAATAGGTTATTTTAAAAATTATTTTAAATGGATACATATTTAAATAACCGGAGTCCAAATATTTTAAGAGCCTTAAAGGGAGACCTTAATCAAATGCGTCGCTACGGAGAGATTAGTGGCAGCAAACCCCACGCACTCTCATTCCCGGCTTTTCGTGGAATCGAGTTGAGAAATCCGCCAGTTTAAAAAAAAAAAAAAAAATCCCGAATAAAAGTCTAAAATATTCCCAGGTCAGAGGGGCACCGTCTCATTAAAACCAGCGCGGTCCTGAAACTGCACTGCAGACATTAAAGTGCAGTATTTTTCAATTAGAGCTGACGAATTCAATCAAAATTCCATAGATTAGGATGAAATGAGGCATGGGTCATTTACAGGGGAATTTAATTGCAGAGCCATTAGACAAATAGTATATTTGCCATTCTCACATTATCCATCATTTTAGACATCAATAGAAGGAACAG